GGTGGAGCTGCGCAGCCAAGCATCTCCCACGCTGGAAAGCTTGCGCATGCTGCCTTGCAGCTTTTGATTGTGGCTTGCCGCGAATTGCACCTCAAGTCGAACGTCGTGAGTACCAGACAGGCGTGCTGATTCGGTCGAACGGCTCTTTGTGGGCCTCGTGTGAGCACACCGGTCAATGATGTGCCTGCAGCTCGATTGACCGTGCCTACATCTCTCCCATGTGATGTGTTCAACAGAGCTCCATTGCGGACGAGCCGTTTCCTGCGTGGCATCACACTCACACTCTGCCAGCGTTACGAAGGGCCTAGACGGCTGCTCAGCGCTCGGTCCCCTCGCTCGCTGCTCACTTGCCCGGTGCAATCACGGCAGCCAATCACCTCGAAGGCAGACTCGCATCTGCTCGCTCCACAACATCACAGCACGTTCAGCAACAGCGGCGATAATCATACACGGCCCAATCTCTCTCGATAGTAGCTTGCAGTCTCTCGTCTAGTACTTGGCTCACTCGCGGAGTTTCAAGACGTTCCAGTGCTGAGTACCCTCTCGAAGAATATAAAAGGACATTTCTTGCGACTCGAATCATATCATACCTTGTCCCTCTAATCAGCGTCTTTCATCTTCCGGCACGAAGCACCTCAACTAATCCTTGCCATGCTCCATCAACGTGCTCGTGCGTGCGGCCTCTGGGTCTCACTCGGCCTGCTTGCTTGCGTTTCCCGAGTCAGCACATCACCGGTCGCCCAGCTCGCTCGTCCCTCTTATGACACTAGTGACCTCTCTCACATCGCTCTTGAGCGAGCAACTTCCGAGACATTATCCGAAGACATCCTCGACGCTCGCGACGACTGCTCCGACGGGCTTCAGATATCCACCTCCTTGGGACAAATCGCAGGGGCATCGGTAGCGGATGGCAGAGCCCAGCGCTTCACCTTGCCTTATGCTCAACCACCTGTCGGATCTTTGCGCTTCGCAAATCCCCAAAACATCGTATCTTTCGGAACGGCGTCGTCCGTCTATGATGCTTCGAACCTTCCTCCACGATGCTACCAGTATGGAGAGGATGTGCGCGGTGGCACCGAGCCGTCGGAGGATTGCCTGTACTCGATCGTCTACAAGCCTGCCAACGCAAAGAATGGCGACAAGCTTCCAGTATTGGTATGTAAATGCGTCCTGCTGGACTTCGTACCATGCTGCTGATCGCTTGCCTGTTTCCCCTCCCTCAGGTGTGGGTTCACGGCGGTAGTGGCATTGGTGGCGGAGCTACCAACGCCGGTCTGGACGGTTCCAACCTCGCCGCGAGCCAAAATGTGATTGTGGTCGTTCTTCAGTACCGTCTCGGCCTCTTTGGCTGGCTTCAAACCTCGGCCTTGGTGGATGAAAGCAACGGTGGAACACCAAACGGCACCAAGGTCTCCGGAAACATGGCTTTCCGAGACGTAGTCTCTGCCCTGCAACAACTCCAATCTGTTGCGCGCTCCTTCGGCGGAGATCCCAAGCTGGTGACGCTGATTGGACAAAGCAGCGGTGCTCAGCTCATTCGCTCGCTGCTCACTTTGCCCATCGCTGCTCCACTTTTCCAACGAGCCATTCTCATTTCGGACACGGAGGACTACGGGCCAGCGACTCAAGCTCAATCTGATACACTCGGAGAATACGCTCTCAAGGCTCTTGGTTGCACCGATCTAGCCTGTGCACGTGCTAAAGACAAGGATGACATTCTCAATGTCAGCTACGACACCTACTCCACTGTCCCTTTGGCCGACGGCTCAATCGCGGGCGGGACACCATGGAGACCCACGCTCGGCAAGTATCTCCCAAGCGGTATCGAAGTGGGTAAAGGCTTTCCCAAGCCGGTCATTCTCAGCACCGTGGCCAACGAAGCAGGCAATGTGGCCGGCAGCCTATTTGAACCGTCCACCCTCAACCCGGGACAAAATTTGAGCGCGCAAGGCTCCATCATTACTCTGCGACAAGGTAATGCGCCTCTTCCGATCGGACAAGCTTTGAACTTGATCTTCAACCAGAACCGAGGTGTGCTGGCAACCAACATTGCAGCATATTCACCTGGTAGTCCGAGCAGCTTACCCGTTCCATCGGCTGGTGCGGATGATGCTCCGCGCAAGCTCTTCGAAGAGATTGCGACGGATGGATTGTGGAGATGCGCCACCCAACGCAACGCTCGCACCCTGGCTTCCAACAGTCAGGGCAAAGGCATCTGGCTGGAGCAGCACAACATTGGCGCTCGCTACCCGTCCAATGAGGACGTCGACTACTGCGAAGCTGCGGGCATCGTCTGTCACGAGGATGACATTTACCTCATCTTTGGAACCACGCCTTCGCCTAATGATGCGCAACAGAAAGCCAGCTCAGAGATTCAGGCCAGGTACTCGGCATTTGCTCGGACCGGCAACCCGAATGTCATTGGCAAGACTACATGGACGCAGGTGGGAAAGGGCAATGATATCGATCTGCTCGTCTATGATGACCAGGGCACATCTAGCGCCCAGAAGGGCCAGAGAACGAGCGCTTGCAACAGCAAGGACGCTTGGGGCTTCAGAGTCAAATTTGACTGGCAAATCTACTCGTACTGATCCCATATCCTCTGCTTACCCGCTCTGTTTACCTCTTCTCCTGCGGATCCATCTCTCCCTGAAATACCACATCATACAATACCAATTCTGACCGTCTCACTTTGCACGTCGCGTCAAGTATGTCATCGTGCGATGCAAAGCACAAGCTTCAATTCCACCATGTCAATGGTGGCAGA